GTATAAGAGACAGTCTCTGGATCCGCCCCTGGATATGAAAGTGTGCTTACATAAGTCTTTTTAGTTGTCTGTTAATTCATATACACTGCAATTTAATAAATTGTTTGTACAGATGACTGTCCAACAAATGATTTCTATTGCGATTACGGATATTGCATACCAATTTCTTGGGTCTGCGATGGCGCAGTCGATTGTGAAGACTCCACGGACGAGGAGGATTGTTCCCCATCGACCACACCACGTCAGCCGGTGATTTCAGTTGTGGGCGGTGATGCAACAATGGTGTTACTCGCTACTACTAAAGCATCGGTAACAACGTTGGCACCCCAGCCGGCGGCCGTCACTACCAATCTTCCGACGACCACGCCAATGCCAACAACTTTGAATATGGATAATTGTAAGTTTGACGCATTATATGATTTACTTAGATTCATAACGTTTGCTACATTGATTAATTTAATATTAGTAAATCTAATAGTAAAGCACTCTACATTTGGATGTTTCAGATCGCGAGTTTTATGGCCAACTTGTTGTGAACAAAATAAATGGCGTGCATGTATCCTATACCACTGCATTGGCGTTCCCCGACAGTATCGCATATGTGCAGTACGAGTTATTATTCAATAATTTGGTAAGGATGCTTTACTATTTTGCATTAAAAAATCTTTTTGATTAAAACATAAATGTTAAAATATAAGCCATTACATTCAGTAATGTTTTTGAGTTTGAGTTGTTTTGTATATTTTTTTGTATTTTTATCATGTAAAGTGCCTTTGAACATGACTTTTCATGAAAAGGGCGCTATATAAAGTTGGTAAATAAATAAATAGATAAATAAAAATTAATTCGCTGTATTTGTTTTAAATTCCTTCTCATGCTAGTTACGCGATGAGTATGCGGTTCTTTCACCATTGATACGTGTTGATGTCACTGGGTTCAGTTCTGGCAGTCTTGTCGTCCATTACACTCTACTGTTGAATATAAGCTCTCACCTGACACAAAAAGAGATAGCTTCTGTATTTTCGTTTCCACCCACACAAATCACCGCTACAGTTAGTAATAGTGGTGTAATATTCGAATATATACAAGTTAGCATGGGCATCGTAGGTGAGGAAACAATTTATGTTGTATGATAATCATTTAACGTTGACTGTTATGGTAGGTTTTATTAGTGATGGCATCAATTAGGGAGAGAGCCGCTTCAGTGTTGGATTCAAGGTCATGCCCCCCCCCTTTCTAATTTTTTTCAAAATAAAAAAAAATTAGGAAAAAAGAAAATACTACTCAAATTTTGAATCTAAGAGTGCCATTTCCGGCTATCTAAAGGTGCCATAATCATAAATCAAAATCATAAATCTTACCTCAGCCCCAACCATCTTGGGGCTGAGGTAGTATAAACCTGTGAAATTCCCTCTCTGGGCCCCTCTATTTCCAATTCCTGGATCTGCCACTGCACTTTAAAGATATATGAGCTCATGCTAAGGCACCCAGTGGATTGTAGGCCTGTTGTATCGTCTCGTTTTAAAAGTAATTAATATATGATTATACTAGCATTCAATTTCTTTCTAGCACTATGTCAAGCTGGATATCTATACTGCGATGACAATAGCAATTGTTTACCTTCCGACTTTTGGTGTGACGGCATATGTGATTGTAGCGATGCGACAGATGAGAATAGCTGTGATCATTCTATTGAATGCCCCGTTTTCGTTCCAACGACTATGCCACCAACGGAAGGAATATTTACGGGAACTGCTGATCATGCTACAACTCATCAAACATCTCTAATTATGCCAACAACCATATTACCAACTACAGATGGTTTGACAACTCTGCAACCGACAACAAAATATCCAACAACCTTGAGAATGACTACAGATGGTCCAACAACCATGAAACTGACTACAAAAGGCTTAACAACCATGGGACAAACGACAGAAGATCCAACGACCATGGAACCAACTACAGAAAGTCAAACAACCATGGGACCAACTACAGAAGGTCGGACAACCATAGGCCCAACTATAGAAGGTCAAACAACCATGAGACCGACTACAAAAGTATTAACAACCATGGGACAAACCACAGAAGATCCAACGACCATGGAACCAACTACAGAACGTCAAACAACCATGGGACCAACTACAGAAGGTCGGAAAACCATGAGACCGACTACAAAAGTATTAACAACCATGGGACCAACCACAGACTTTCCGACAACTATGACACAGTCTACAGAAAGTCATACAACGATGGAACCATCTACAGAAGGTCCAACAACCATGAGACCGACTATAAGAACGCATACAACCTTGGGACCGACTACAGAAGCTTCAACAACCATAGGATCAATCTCTGAAAGCATAACAACAGTGGACCCGACCACAAAAAGACTAACCACAACATCACCATCGACAACTGTGCCAACTACAAAAGGCTTCACAAAAATGACAGGTAAACAACCGATAATAATAGAATATATAATAATAGTTTATAAAATTTAAACACATTTAAATGTAATGGTTGGATAATTATAATGCAAATTGACCGTCCACGTAGATGCCAACTACAAAAGGCTTCACAAAAATGACAGGTAAAAACCCGATAATAATAGAATATATAATAATAGTTTATAAAATTTCAACACATTTAAATGTAATGGTTGGATAATTATAATGCAAATTGACCGTCCACGTAGATATTATGGTAAGAAGTTTGATAAATTGACATGACGTTAGGCTTGAGTCTGTATAGTGTTTGTAAAGAAAGCGAATTGAATTCGTGTTTTATAACTAAATTTCTAACAGATTTATGTCGATATGTATTTGTATAGGTTCATCAATAACCACAGGGATGCCTCTACAGAACACTTCAAGACCAGTGGAAGATAGAGTTTATGTGGGGTCATTTACCGCAACTGAACTGAACGATGAACCACTCGTGTACGACACTGAACTTAACGACACATCATCTGAAGTATTTCGCTTGACAATGCAGGTGTTTTCAACTATGGTAGGGACATTTGTATAAATCAATATCTCTCACACTATAACGACCTAAGAAGTATACTATAGAACTTATATTAACAAGACAACTACAGGACTAAAAAGTCCCCTTTATAATAGAGATGTCCTCTGAATAGGGTCAGGGTAACCTACAACAGCTGCGTGTACCTCTGTGTGGAGACACCCGTGTGGTCTGCCCATGACACAATCGTAATAGACAGAACGGGATTGAACCCCCGACCTCAAGGTAGATTATGAGGAAGAAAAATCATGCTGTTTTATATACATATGTAATAAGATCTCGGAGTATCTTTTACAGAAGTGTATCAACAACATGGTGTGTTATTTAATTTTGTACATTGATAATGATAGGTCAACATAGGTAATGATGGGTTAACGAATTGTTTGATCTTAGTTGACAGAAGTGTATAATAGCACACCTGGATTTGTGAATGTGACAATAGATGGATTCCGTGCTGGAAGCTTGATTGTTGACTTCTTTATACTAATACAAACAACCAATCCAATATCAACTAAGGAACAGTTGGTAAATGCATTCCAGGCCGTGGGCGGAAAATTGAAAACCTCAGATTTTACTGTATCGTACTCTCCAGATTCATTGACTATTAAAGGTAAATGATGGCCCCACCGAACCCCGATAAGCCTTAAAATAACATACCTCAGGGTAGTAAGCTAAGTCACTTTTGGAAATGTAAGTAAAAATTCCTCCTTGTATTAGCCCTTTTTTGTTTTGAAGAATGGAAAATATCAACAGAATCCTAAAAAAATTCCAGCTTTCTTACAAATATAGGGTTTTTCATTATTTTTGTGTACTACACAAGGTATTCCAGAGGACAACACAAATAACTACCATAATTTTCATGTATAAAGAAGGCATTAATTCATTTATTACATAATTGTCCTTTACTGTGTAACACTGTGTTGAGCAATAATCTTCATGTATTGTTAATATCACTGCATTCTGAAAGTCTTCGTCTTTATTATAAACAGTTCCCGGACGTCCATGCGCATCACTGTCTCAATCGTTTTTTGCTTCATTTGATCATTCCATCTGTTGTGAATACTATTTTTATTGACCAAATCATTTACGTCTGCTAAATTTCCATTCTTTAGCTATTAAATTTGCTCAAGTGCTCAAGGGCCTGCGAACATTTGGTAGCAATGACATGCCTGTGATTTTGTTGCCTGTATTGAACATTTCACATCTTGCTTGATTTACATTTTTCCCCTTAACTTTATGCCGCAGTCTTCAATTTCCTTAGACATCTTTTATGACAGAACATCTAAAACTTTAAAGATGCAGAAAGTGTTAACTAAACTTTGCCTTTGACTACAGAAGCATGAGTTCCAATAAGGGATAAGTTCTTCGCTGGTAAAAGTTAATGTCACTTAATTTGAATATCCTTCGGTATTTGCCAGTGTTTGTGTCTAGAATGACCCTCTCTCCGTTGTCATAAAATAAGATATACATTAGCAACTGTAATATCGATGTCTCCAGAATGGAACGGTTGATATTTATGTATTGGTTGTAATTCCTTAAAGCATGCATTGCATGCTGGACGACTTTTCTTGGCTGCTACGAAGATCTGGAACTAATACAAAATCTCTTTCATCGACAAGGATGCATTCTTGCTAATAGCAATAGTATTCAAGAAGGTATCCGACCAGTTTGTCGAAATCCAGTTTGCTGAATCTAGTTGTTCACTGAAATCATGGAATCCCAGTTTGTAGAAACCAAATCTCTGTGTAGAGCATACTGTGCATTTGAAAGGAAGGAGCTTCATTTGTGTACAAATTAAAAGGAAAAATATTGGAAAACAACAAAGCTGTAGAAAAAACACACATGAAAGCATGGCTATTAGTTAAAAAAAATAGAAATAAAGTGAAATGAAATTAAGGATAAGCATCGTATCCTTCTAAAATACTCCCCCTGCAAACCCTATCAGGATTGTTGTGCCAGATCCCTGAACACGGAGCTTTAGTCGGCCCCTTGAATCAGACCTCCTGTCGACAAATTTATGGAGCCACAATTGGCATGTGTGTATAATTGTAGATTATTATTAATTTGTTTATTTTCTTTATTATTCTTTTTTTATAAATTTATATATTTATCATAAGTATGCTAATAAAATGTTTTAACTGCGAGGCCTATTAAATTGACATTTATTTGCTAATAGCCAAATTATTTACAGAATAAAACAAAAAGAATCATTTTAACTACAATAAGCCACTATTTCTTATACGAATACATAGTAATAGAGTGTTTCATCATGAATGTTATGCTGTGGTTAATGTTTTACTGCTTTCATTTTATTTTCAACAAAGTGGGTTTTAGCGCAAACTGGGTTTTAACAAACTGGGATTTGTAGTTTTTGATTCAGCAAACTGGCATTTGGCAAACTGTGTTTTGGCAAAGTGAACTAAAAAATCTGGCAGTCGGCAACGTAGGGTTCTACAATCTGGCGTAAAATCACCTAGAAGAAGCAGACACGAAAGTCTTCCTGTATGCAAAGCATGCTTGAACGAATAACAACCAAGGCATAGCAATCATCCGATCCGTTTCTCGAGACATCGATATTACAGACGATTACACCCTGGCTTTCTTTCGTAAAGAAAACGTAGCTTCCGTAATCAGAAACTAAGTTTGTTGAAACTTTCAGCAACTTCGGAGTTTTAGATGTTCTGCCACAAAAGTTGTCTGAAGAACAAGAGTATGTCTCACTGCTGCTTGGAGTTAAGGGGAAAAGTGTAAATCAAGCAAGTAACATGTTCAATAGAAAGTTTTCCAGAAACAAGATCACTTACATATCATTGCTGCCACCATGTTAGCAGAATCTCGAGCTTCGATACTTAGCAAACTTAATCGTTAAAGAATGAAAATAAGCAGAGGTAAATGACTGTCAATAAAAATAGTTGATGGAACAGATCGAATGAACAAATCCCCGTCCAAGAATTGTTCATACAATAAATACGAAGACTTTCAGATTGCAGTGATAAAAGCGATACCTGAATATTATTGCTCAACATAGGGCTACACAGTTAAACACTAAAGACAAATATGTAGTAAATGAATTGATGCCTTCTTCATACATAAAAAGTATGGTAGTTGTCGGGAATACCTTGTATAGCACACAGAAATAATGAAAAAACAACGGGATATTTGTAAGGAAGCTGGAATTTTTTTAGGATTCTGGTGATATTTTCCATTCTTCAAAACAGAAAAGGACTAATATAAGGGGGAATTTTTACTTACATTTTCAAAAGTGAGCTTACCACCCTAAAATATGTTATTTTGGGTTTAAAAAGTCAACAGCATTTATTACATTCATGTTTTGTAAATTAAACAAATTTATTTAGAGTATTGAAGCTGCTTTAAGTTGTTCTTTAATTTTGGCGGCCATTTTAAAAAGCGCCCTCAATTGCCTCCCGAAATCTTCACATTAATAACTTTAGCTAGTTATACTTTACTCCTATCATTACATATTAAAAAGTTGGTCAAACCTACCTCTTCTGTGCTTATTTTACCCATATATATGTAGTTTATTTGATTTTGGCGGCCATTTTTTAAAAAGCGCCCTCACGCGAAAGTTCTCAGGTTACACCCCTTTTACCTCACATATTCTGATTCCCCATAAAAAAAAATAAAAACTGGTCTAAAAAAACCATATGAGAATTTCTACCTCTCCAAGTGGCACCTATCTCAATTATAGCCTGGTCTAACTCCAGATGACATTAAAAACCAATTGTTACTTGATCCATTTATTAAAATGGCGACAATCTGCGACGGACAACTCTTATGTACTACTATCAAATTTGTGTAGTAAATCTGTTGTGATGTGCCAATACATGGGCATGATGATGTCATATCACACCGAAATATGGGCATATCACAGTTATTTATCACATAAAATAATGTGAAATTGTGGACAAAGCGTAAGTACAAGAGTAACCAATTTTGTATATACATACAGTACATGGTTTTATACAAACTACATCTGGCTCTCTGGTCTACATGCCAAATAGCCTTGTTGTCAATGGTAAGAAAATGAATGGTAACCATGCGGTATGATATATCAAAGGTTTTTACAATCAGGCACATAGCTTTTATTACATAATTTGTTTTATTTTTTTTTAAACATAGAAATAGATGAGTTAATACATGAAGGAAGTGAATATGAATCGGGAAGAGAAGGTACAGATTTTCCGATGTACGAAGACAGTGAATCCCAACCAGCAGACGAAAGTTCAAATTTACCACAGTCTAGTGATAATACAAATGGAGATTCAACAGCAGTGAATAGCATTTTTACTATTACCTTTCGGATATCAAATTTAAATGGAGAGAACGTGGTGCCCACTGAAGGTTTGAATGATCCCAATTCAGAAATATTCCAGGAATATTCAGGAATAATCACAGAGATGGTAAGATACAACAGAATAGATATTCTCAGTAATACCTTGCACAATATTAAATAAGTGTACAATGCTATAATAATAGTTATTAATTGTGGGTTAAATTGTATTTGTTCTTTCAGCTTTACGAAATTTACACTGGAATACCAAGCTTCATTAATGCTCAAGTCAAAGGATTCATAGATGAAGGTGTTACAGTGAACGGATATCTTGAGTTTTATCCACATGAACAGATTTCGTCGAGTGAATTGAAAAACGTGTTTAGAGAATCAGGAGATGGCGATGGTTTTATACAAACTACATCCGGCTCCCTAGTCTATATGCCAAATAGTCTTGTTGTCAATGGTAAGAAAACGAATGGTAAACATGCGGTATGATGTATCAAAAGTTTTCACAATCAGGCACATAGGTTTAATTACATTATTTTTTAATTTTTTTTTAAAACATAGAAATGGATGATGGAATACATGAAGGAAGTGAATATGAATCAGAAAGAGAAGGTACAAATTTGCCGCCGTACGAAGACAGTGAATCTCAACCAGGAGACGAAGGTTCAAATCTACCACAGTCTAGTGATAATCCAAATAGAGAATCAGAAAGAGAAGGTACACATTTCCCGCCGTACGAAGACAGTGAATCCGAAGACGAAGGTTCAAATTTACCACAGTCTAGTGATAATACAAATGGAGATTCAACGGCAACGAATAGCATTTTTACTATTACCTTTCGGATAGTAAATTTAAATGGAGAGCAAGTGATGCCCACTGAAGGATTGAATGATCCCAATTCAGAAATATTTCTGGAATATTCAGGAATACTCACAGAAATGGTAAGACATTACAGAATAGATATCCCCAGTGATTGTCTCTTATACACATCTAGATGTGTATAAGAGACAGGTAATAGAGTGTTTCATCATGAATGTTATGCTGTGGTTAATGTTTTACTGCTTTCATTTTATTTTCAACAAAGTGGGTTTTAGCGCAAACTGGGTTTTAACAAACTGGGATTTGTAGTTTTTGATTCAGCAAACTGGCATTTGGCAAACTGTGTTTTGGCAAAGTGAACTAAAAAATCTGGCAGTCGGCAACGTAGGGTTCTACAATCTGGCGTAAAATCACCTAGAAGAAGCAGACACGAAAGTCTTCCTGTATGCAAAGCATGCTTGAACGAATAACAACCAAGGCATAGCAATCATCCGATCCGTTTCTCGAGACATCGATATTACAGACGATTACACCCTGGCTTTCTTTCGTAAAGAAAACGTAGCTTCCGTAATCAGAAACTAAGTTTGTTGAAACTTTCAGCAACTTCGGAGTTTTAGATGTTCTGCCACAAAAGTTGTCTGAAGAACAAGAGTATGTCTCACTGCTGCTTGGAGTTAAGGGGAAAAGTGTAAATCAAGCAAGTAACATGTTCAATAGAAAGTTTTCCAGAAACAAGATCACTTACATATCATTGCTGCCACCATGTTAGCAGAATCTCGAGCTTCGATACTTAGCAAACTTAATCGTTAAAGAATGAAAATAAGCAGAGGTAAATGACTGTCAATAAAAATAGTTGATGGAACAGATCGAATGAACAAATC